CTTTCTGCCCCCCCCCCCGCAGAAGCTTAGCGTGCCCAGCGGGTTCTCGGTGACGGCCCCCGAGAAGCGGGGCTGGGTGATCAACCCCCTGGGCGAGAGGAGCGACTTCCCCATCTGGATGATGGTGGCCAGCGGCCTCCCCGCCGTCCTCGTCTTCATCCTCATCTTCATGGAGACCCAGATCACCACGTGAGCCCCGCGGGGATGGGACGGGGGCATGGAGGGGCTGAGCCGGGCTGTGCCAAGCTGTGCTGTACCGTACCGAGCCGTGCCATGCCAGGATTTGTGTGCCATGCCGAGCTGTGCATGCCCTGCCATGCCAGGCTTTGTGTGCCGTGCCAAGCCATGCCAAGCTTTGCTGTGCCATGCTGAGACATGCTGTGCCGTGCCAGGCAGAGCTGTGCTGTGCCAAGCTATGCCAAGCTTTGCTGTGCCGTGCTGAACTCTGCCATACTTTGCTGAGCTGTGCCAAGCTGTGTCATGCCATGCCATGCTGAGCCGTGCCAAGCTGAGCTGTGCTGTGTTTTGATGAGCTGTGCCAAGAATGCCGTGCCATGCTGTGCCGAGCTGTGCCGTGCTGAGCTTTGTAGAGCCATACCAAGCTGTGCCGTGCCATGCTGTGCCATGCCAGGCTTTGCAGTGCTGTGCCAAGGCATGCCATGCCAAGCTGTGCCACGCAGTGCCGTGCCAGGCTGAGCCGTGCCGTGCCGTGCCCGACGGTGTGCCCTTGTGCCCAGGCTGATCATCAGCAAGAAGGAGCGGATGCTGCGGAAGGGCTCCGGGTTCCACCTCGACCTCCTGCTCATCGTGGCCATGGGCGGCTTCTTCGCGCTCTTCGGGCTGCCCTGGCTGGCGGCGGCCACCGTGCGCTCCGTCACCCACGCCAACGCCCTCACCGTCATGAGCAAGGCCGTGGCGCCCGGGGACAAGCCCAAGATCCAGGAGGTGAAGGAGCAGCGGGTCACGGGGCTGCTGGTGGCCGTGCTCGTCGGTAGGTCCCGCCGTGGGTCCCCCCCAGCCCCGCTCCCCCCTTCCCGTGCCCACAAGGGCTGGGGAGCACTGGCCACTTTGGTGTCTCCAGCCTGTCCCGGGGGGCACCAGTGACGCAGGACCCTCCCCAAGCGTGGGGGGGTGACCGGGCAGGGGGGAGGGTCCCTGGGTGACCCCCGCTGTGTCCCAGGCCTGTCCATCGTCATCGGGAAGCTGCTGCGGGAGATCCCGCTGGCCGTGCTCTTTGGCATCTTCCTCTACATGGGGGTCACCTCCCTCAACGGCATCCAGTTCTACGAGCGCCTGCAGCTGCTGCTGATGCCCCCCAAGCACCACCCCGACGTCCCCTACGTCAAAAAGGTGGGGGGGTCCCTGGGGGTGGGACCCTTCTCTGGGGCACCGGGGGCATCTGCGGGATAAATGCTGGCAAAGCCGTTTTTGGGG